ACTGAGTTCTTGGTTTCCATATTGCTCGTATTTAAAGGCGTGATCCTGAAGGATGCTAAAAATATTTGCAATAAGCCTTTGAGAGCTTTGCAGTATTTGCAATAAGCCTTGTTCCCTGCCTTGGTCAGCAACTCAGTTTCCTGCTCTAAGATTGCAGCAGTCTGATGTATTAGGTATTTGTAAAATCATAGTTAATATTTCATTCAAGTCTTATAGCTCAAAATGACAAAGTCTTCAGGGGTTTCAGAGCACAGACAAAATGTCTTGTATTTTTCTGTTTCGCTAATTCCCACTATGGCAGTAACCTAGTGTAAGCCTCCTTGAAATATTCCAGGATAATTCTAATAATCTGCAGTTGCATATACCTGTACTACATCCAGAAAGTTTACAGACCTTAGAAGCTTTGTCTAATTTTGATGGATGCTCCAATAAGGTAAGCCAAGAGAGATTTACTAGATTTAAATGGAAAAGTTCATTTTTAAATAAAATCTGTGTATATCTGTTTAATTGAATTAATTTTTTTGCACCATTCTTTTTCTGACAGTTGTGATGGTACTGATCACAAATTATAGTAAGATATATATGTTTAAGTGAAAATGTAACTCTTATGATGCGATACTTTTAAAGGTAATATATCATATTGAATTTCCTTGACAAAAGCTGTATTTGTGAATAAGATGCAAGTATGTGAAGTAAGTTTTGCCATTAATAAAAGTGTGAAAATATCATACATTGTCCTAAGAACTACCAGTGGGGATCAGAACCAAAGATGTTTCTAGCCTTGTATCCTGCCTCCAGCAGTAGCCACCAACAGATGGTGTGAAACAAAGGACAGATAAGGTGACCCCATTTTTCTCCAGGAATTTTTCCATTTTTTAACTCATGGCTCCTTTCAGCCTCCACCATCCCTTGTGGCTGTGAGTTCCATGTTTTAATTGTTTTGTGTGGAAAAAGTAATCTCTTGTTTGTCTCAGATCTGTTTATTCAAGAATTGCTAGTGCATTTGAACACAGTTACTGAAAATACTGTAAGATGAACAGTAATCCACTTCAAGTCAGTTTTTAAAAGCTATGGGAATTTATAATGATAAAATACCTGCTTAAGCACACAAAATATCCTGTTTCTGTCCTTAGGCAGATGATGTCTGCTTAGGCAGAAAACTTGTCCTATGTTAATGACAATATTATCTTACTTGTCCCTTCTGAATAAATTTTTACACATAAATCCTTTAGTATAAAGTATTACAAGTCAGATGCTAACTGCAGAACAAATATTTTTTTTTTTTTTGCTTTTGCCATCGGAGTAAAAGTAAGATCACTCAAATGCAAAACCTATTGCTAGCCCACATCTGAGTGAGGTACCTCTGGATTCGGAGATGCCAGCATCAATGGGTGT